CGACCGTTTTCTCACATCATATAATCTAGAATATAGGTTAACCTGTGATTTCGCAACCATCATTTTCCAATATACTTCTATTCTATCCATCTACTAAATAAAGGCGTCTACAAAGTGATGGGTCATCTTTGGCTGAAACGTTGTGGTGTATCACTGCAATCCTTCTTTGTGGAGGCAGAGTTTCAGAAAAACTCGTCGGCAGATGACTTTCATTTGTTTCAACGCTGAACCTATTCCAAGAACGCATTAAGTTTGTTCCAACTAAAATTTATTTTATTAGAAACAATACAGGGAATCTAAACCTACTTCTCGCGTGTTCTGCAATTTTGTCAATTAGAGAAAAAATGTATAAGTAATGCACGTTCACAGCAGCACCAGGATTAACACGCACCAAAATAGGATTTCTTTGCTCCCAAATCAAAATACAGTTGTGTTTACACTTTACATAGTTAAAGTAGAGAGTGGGCAAGGTGGGGGGGGGGGGGTTTGGGCAAGAGGGGAGTGGGGACGGAAGTTGGAGAGGAGGAATGAATTTAGAAAAAAAAGGGTGAGAGGGGGAGGAGGCAGGTGGGCAAATCAGTGCATTTGTTTAGCCTTCGAAACTCGCGTTGGCAACTGAGATTGTGTATGCACAGCTAGGAGCGTGAAAATTTATGCTTCTGGGAATGTTACACTCTCGCTTTATTAACATGGTGCTGCTTCCACTACAGATGTAAATATCGCTTTTCTCATTCACTCCCAATTCCCACATCATGCGCCCATATATATAAAATTAAAATCTTGGACAAAAACATTTAGTTAACTGGGATTTGCGATAGACTTACCTCCACGTGGTGCACCCTGGGCAACGTATACTCATATGGCAAAAAAGTCTATTAACCGACAGTTGACTTCAGACTCCAAACTACTATCACCCCACTGTATGTCAAATTCGACTACTTTCACGGTACTCACCTCACCTTTTTTCCAACTTTGTGTCTGTCTCTTTTACATCTTTGAAACACTCTTCTGCCCCCCCCCCATCTCGACCTTTTTCACTTTGATGTTCCTTCCCCTCTGTGGAGTCTGAAGTCAACTAAAGGGCTAATGATAACTATCAAAACGTCTGCCATTTGGTATAAATAAATACATTTAGTTAACTACTGTATCTCACTAAAATGTGACAAAATTAGTTGTAAATAATGTTGAACTTAATAGTTGCCTGTCTTTCTATTTTTAGCTTCCATTCTTCATTTAATAATTGTCCTAATGAGTGTGTTAATAATAATATTTTATCCTTAAAAATGGTAAAAGAATTTAATTCAAGTGGGCAATAAGAGTTGCCTTTAGAAAGAGGAAATTTTAAGACAATGCTAACTCTGACCCACTTCAAAACCCATCTGGCGGGGAGGGGGGTTGAAACAATTTCCTTTCAGCCTCTTCATTAACTGACTGACCAGTGCGCTTGGTCGCTGCTCTCACGGAAAATCTCAAACCAACTTCTATCGCAAATCATTTCCTTACTCAGACAATGACAGAAACACTAAGAGAAGGCATTTCACCTCTCATATCTCTCGATAGAATCTTTTCTCTTGGAAACATGGAAGATTTCTAATGCATTAACCACTGACATTATTTTAATGCTTGTTAATTTTCGACAATCGACAAATTCGAGGGGTTGAGCACTCATAATCACCACTTCTTTTCCATCGGGACAATTGTAATTGCGGTCAACCACTTGTTGTCCCCTGACATGTGCTAAATGCCATAAATCCTTTTCCAAAGTGTCGTGTCATTGTGTCTTAGTTGCCAGGTGGGGATATCGGACACCACTATTGGCATGGAATCGGGTCACTTCGGGGTAAATTGACCGCGCCCCCCTTCCCCGCCCCTTATTTATGCATCAAGCCAATTTAGAAGGATATAAAGGATCGATCAACAATACTGAAGTGCCGATAGCCAAATTTAAGCCAAAATAGTTGTCCTAATTAAATTTTCCATTTCATCCGTATACAATTTTCCAGCTTAATAGTAACAGATTTCAAACCTTGAGCATTAAAAGTGCGATTCAGGGCTATTTTTATTTGTTAGGAACCTTCATCGAGGTAAACGCCAAATCGCAATTCCCATTTTAAAGTTCGAATACGACATTCTTAAAAATATAGTAGATATTAACTATATCAAATTAATAGGAACAATATCAAGTCGATTTGTATTATCTATTTTTTTGATATTAAAGTGATATATTCTAAAATGGACTGTATCATTAGTTGTCATGCATCAAAACAATCCGCATAGTGAATAAATTGTGTATCTATAAATATTGCAAGAAAAGAATTCAGTTGCTACAACATTTAACAGCCTTAAAAGAAATTTAGTACGCAAGGAAATTACACGACTGTTAAAGTGCTTAGATCAAAAGAACTGCTGACACCATCTTTTACAGCTCCGATTCAACCCCGACTTCGAACTCGTTCCCCAGAACCTATTGAAATCGGATTTTATGCCCTTCCTTGGAAGAGCCTCAAAAGCTTCTTTGTTTCTCCCCATTAAGTGAGCATTAGTGATTCTGGTACAGAGATTAGTGTCTTCCAACTCAGCGCACAATACATACATAATAGGCCATTGGAATCGAGTTTGAGGTGGGGATTTTGAAGGCCAAGTATTGGGTCTGGTGTAGTCGCAAAATTGGTCCGACAACCATTTTTGACCTTCCATGAGGTGGCAGAGGAGGCAGACGAGCCCTGCTGCCGCCATGAATATGGCCTATTATTGGCTATCCTTGTTCGTTATCCAGGGCTGAACTATCACAGCGGCTGGAACTTTTATAGAGTCATCCGAATTCAAGCTAAGCCTTTCTTTCAAAAAAAACGAGAGAAGCATCACATAACAGGATTTCCAGAGGAGTGCACAAGCCTGTAAAACATGATAGTTTTGGGAAAATTCGGTTTAGATAAATTGAGAAACGGCCTTTGGGTTCTTTGTAAAGACAAGCCATCACTTATTCTGTATTCTGTTCTCTTGGTCCTAGCAAAAGCATTTTTCTTTCATCAGGATGTTTCACTTTGCTAAGATCAGTTTCAAGGGCCGTTTGTGAGAGAGGTTGACTTTTACGATGTGAGTAAGGTTTATGACACAGGCTGAACTATCCGTCTAAAGCTCGAATTCCGATGCCAAGGTGCTCTTACACTTTTTTATGCCGCATCTTCTCGAGGAAATCAGTTGTCCGAGCATAATCAGACCATTCCGTACCGGATTCTTTTCAGAGTGCTCAGTGCTCATTGGTGAGGAACCAAAATCACCTTATTTCGATGACAGGCTAACATGATAACAGGCTAATAACGTGATATAGGTTATTATCATCTATGATTCACGTAAGTCCCAGTGATGGTTTCTCATTGTCTTGGAATATACAAATAAAGACACCTTTTAACATTCAAGCAAGCGCAATTTCCGTGAACAGATTCAATATAGCTGAAAAAGAAGCCACATGTTAGTTCATCAATTTTATCCAGAGCACGATATAAATGACAATTTGTTCAGTTTAGCGGTATTAAGCAAATGAAATATAATTTCGCATTTTATTTTTGTTTGAATCGAAACTCATTTCTGTGCGATTCTAAATCGTTCTTTTGAAGTAAATATACCAATTTCAAATAATATTTTTTTCTTTAAAAGAAAATCAATATTGATTTGATTACTCTTTTTTATAAACCAATCATCTATAAAAAATTAAAGAGTTGGCAATCAACATTACTGGACAAGACGAAGTGTCATCTTTCGGACGAACTAATCTGTCATCTTTTCCACCTTTTCTTCCTCTTACTTTTCTCAACCAATTTGATGAATTAATCGCCAAAAACGCAAGTAGATTATGGCTATTAGACTCTTTCAAGATAATTAAATTAACCGCGACTTTTTCTTATTATCATATTTCTGTATTTAAATTGTTGGTTCCGTTAGAACAAACTTTATACAAAAAATTGAAATTGGCTAATGCCTGAGTTTATGTAAATCCACTTAGTTTAATTTGAATAGAGATTCCAGTTATATTTAATAATGGATTAAAATGGTGGAAGATGGGCTAGTTTTCTTATCTCATTAGTCCTACATTCGAGTTTATTACATTTAATTGTTTGCCGGATATCATGTTTTGTTAGTTATTAATAAAATCGTTTATTGCCGTCGAAACCGAGAACCATTTGAATTGGTATTTTCGGCGTTTTCTTCCAAAAATGATAAATTGAAATTATTAACCCCTTCGTTATCAATTAGGGATGTTTTTAAACAGAATATTTGATTTTTGAATTTTAAATGTTCCAAAGTCATGAAACATATTTACGATGTTCGCTGGCAGAAACCAATTAAGTCACTGTTATTAATTTCTGGAAAAGTTGACCGCCATCCGCAAACGACTTGCCAATCAAACCCACTTGGATAAATTGAATTTGAGCTCAACCGTGAAATGACGCTAACAAGTTCTGTACGATTTGATTAGTAGCAGGAGACGAGAAGGCGATTTCGCATCACTGTGATCCCTAACCCCAAGGGAATCATCCATTTAATAATAAATATTAACTTATCTGATGATATCAAATACGCATCTAAGACAAAGATAGATTGATGAAAGGTTTATATTCTGGAAAGTTATAAAATTGAGCTACATCTATTGAAATAGCGTTAAAAAATATGTAGATTAAGGGATAATTTGAAGTTAAAAAATGTTTGTCGCATAATGCAAGTTCTTTACGTTTGATTGGTTTGCCGAGGCCGCAAAGAAGACCAATGAGCGTTGAGAGCTGTCGTCGCACACCCCGTTTGGTTTTGACAAATTGTTAACGGCGGCACCTTGACTCGCGTGCGCGCACACCATCAGGTGAAGGGAGGGAAGAGGGTGGCGAAGTGATTGGATGGGCGTCCCGCCGGTAGGAGTGTATGAGTGTGGGGGTGTCAATATATGTGTGCCTAGAAAGCATGCGGAGTTTTCATTCATTTCTTCACTCTGTTTGACCAGGGCCATCATGTCTGCTAGAGCATCAGCATTCTCCATAGATGCTATTATGACTACTACCACAAACACCGCTACGCCAAATGAGATCACACCAGTCAAATCTTCATTATCCCAACATAGTCCTGGTAAGCTAAAAAATAAGATATTTTGAAACACTTGTTTGCTCAATTTAACATTAGCTTAATTTCTCTTCTTTGAACTTGTTTATCTACTTAAATGGTTTGATTCAAATAAATCTTATGCGTTACCTTATACAAACTGAGATAGACTGATAAAAACGAATTTCACACATTTAGTGAACAATTTGAGCGCATGAAAAGTAATAAAGGGATATGTTGAGTGGAATTTACACAATACCAATTTTAATTTAGGCAATATTTATAAATAAGCTTTTATGATGTTGATTTATAGATGTGAATGAAATTTTAACCATATTATTATGTTTCGAGGAGAAAATCAAAACTCTGAAAAAGCATTTGGCAATGGTTTACTGGTTAAATCTACTAGATGTTCAAATTTTAAAGATTTCCAATAGCTCCATCATTAATGAATACTTCAGTTTTGGCTTTATCTTACATGTAAAGGTGAATTGCAAGTTCACGATTGGCTGTCTTTCGCCTTTGAGATAAGAATGGAGAAAGTGGTGTCGGGTGAAATGTCCATTGCACCACTCCTCCTTGTTGGAAGAGAACTCGTTTTTGTCTAAAGTCTATTTATGTTAGCCAATGAGAAAATGATATATTTTTAAATAATGTGTGCCCTATAGGGGAATTTCACTGTAATATATGTAATTTGTCGGCTACTAACAAATAGAGAAGACCATCTTGGTTCAATCGTGGGCATGCTATTACAAGCAAATAAGTGTATTTTCTTTTTGAAAGACTTTTAAGGCTCCTTTTTGAACAATTTTAAAAATAAGGATTGCCAAATTCTAATGCTCATATAAATGCTCCCCAAATGGGTAGTTTTGACTCGTATTTATCAGTAACTTAATAAGTAAAATAATAAAAACCCGAACATAATTTTATAGATTGAAACTTTGCATGTGAATATACTTATCTTTCACATCAATGGCTCAATCGGATAAATGAGAAAACAACGTATTCAGACATTTCATACCGAATAGAGTGACGTTTACTTTGTAATAGACGCTAACAAATCGATAGAATGATTGTGGGGGGGGGGAAGGGGTGGGATGGGATGGGGAGCATTTAGCTGAGAGGATCTCGTGTCGAATCAGCACTTGACAACTTGGTTCCGAAAATAAGACCATCGCAATTGTCTACCACTTCTTACTTGTCAAATACTAATGACCTTTTGTCAAGTGGTCAGGGGACGCCACCGGCTCCAGCAATTAGACCGTCGAGACAAACTGCCAAGTAGGCAGACATCCAGATTTTGTCTGATCATGAATTGTCCAAACCCAAACCCAATTAAGCACATTTTATTGGGACGCCCATCTTAGTAGACATCAAATCACTTTCCTACACGTGGCTATTTTTAATTCCTGTAGCTAGCAAGTTCAAGCAGAATAATATTTCAGCATTTTGAATCGGTCATAGTTAATTACCAGTTTCTTCAAGTTGAAATGACTGGACATTCCAATGCCAAGAGGTTTAAATGATTTAGTTTAAAAACCATTTTAATTTTTCGAATCAGGAAGAAGTGAAAGTAAGGTGATAGTGCTGAAAAGTGAAATAGATAATCGGATTGATTAAATTTAAATTGTTTTTCTTGGATTTCCTGCAATGTTTTCGATCATTGTCTTCAATTAATGTTCAAGATTTATAGATATGAATCTATCCAATTAGAACAAAAATTTCAACACAATAAAGGCAATAATTTTTTCTGTTCCCATGGTTGTTTATTGAATTATCTTGAAATCTTTTACTTATGACAATATGTTGTCACTTTATAAAATCAAAACTTCTCAGACGCCAGGAAGAAGAACTGCGGTTTTTTTTCATCAGAATCATGTCTTTGTGGTACTCGGCTAGCCAAAAATGCCAGCAGTGCTTTCTTCACTGGTAGTTCTACGTATCCACGAATAAATTTAACAGCAGATAAAGCAGTATATCATGGATGAAGCTTACCTTTAAGCTCTTCCTGAGAGATAATCACATGCCACATGCAAATGGAGATTGAAATGAGGTTAATTTCGCCACGAAATTCGATAGTGGCGCGAAGTTCGTTGCCATGGCATTTTTATAGACAAATAGACACCCCTGACTGACCACAAGAGAAATCGGAATTGCACTTCTGTATGTTGAAATCAAATCGCTTCTTTCATCATCATCTCCTCCCGACAACACAAACAAATTGTCTGCTGTTGGATTGCTCAGGCGACACAATGAAATTTGATAGGAGTGCGGTGGAGCCACGAAAGTTTTAGAAAATTTTGGTGTCAATACAGAATTTTAAGGTCGAAATGAGAAATTCCCTCCCTATTTATTGACCACTTTAAGCTTTTGATTATTAAAGAAGTGAACTGTTACTATTTTTAGTAGAAAGTCCAAAAGGACTTCGACGAAGTTGGTTAAGTATTCAAGCCATTGACGATACACCAGCACTTCCTGCAAAGTCACTGAGACTTAACATCTCTCAGGCATCTCCTCTCACTCGACATGACAACCAGTCTCTGCCTTCTGAAGCTCGGTTGAAGTAAGTGCACGAGCATTTGATTGCAACCTTAAAAGGGTAGTCCGAAGATGGGATCAAGTGATTTGCATTTGGTCCACTTAAATCCAACTTAGCATAAAAGTAATTTGGAAATGGAAGAAGATTAGAGTTCTGCACAGTACCACCACTGCCAAAAATGATCCAAGACGATTTTAGCTATGAAGATGTTAGAAAAAACCTTAATGACTTTGAATTTAGAATAAAAGATACGCTTATTCACACTTTTTTAATACCTTTTACTTTAAATTGATCTGATGGCATACTCTGAGCTCACCAATTTTAAATGTTGGGCTGCAAGGTCATTTGGTAGTTTATAACAACGCTGTGTTATGATCTGGACTTAATAATGCATTTGCTGCAACTTCAGCACGCAAATTGAATAACGGATTTAGTGGAAATAGAGTTAAAATTGAAAATCACAAATCAATAACACAATGGCCACCCACTTTGTGATTGCGTACAAATTAGGCAATTAAAATGAGCTTTAATAAGAGAATGAATTGAGATGTACAATGTTCAAACAAGTACGAACTCTTTTCACCTAGATGACAATTTCATCATTAGAAGTCATTATAATGAATCAAACCTGATACTTTTCCCAACGGTTATTTGACGTTCAGCGAGGAGTGTCTTCTAGAACTACTTGATTTGTCTTGCCACCAATTTTTTGCTAGTAAATATATTTGATGTGAAATAGTGCTGTCACATGTAATAAATATATTAATTCAAACAAACTGTTGGAGAGGCTTGCATCTAATTTACTAAACAATGCAACTTATGTTTTTATTTACACGTTTTTGCTTACTTGATGGCGTTTCCTAAAGTAAAAAAGCATTTTTTGTAAAATTATTTGATTGAAAAGCTTTTTAATTGTGACTTTCAGTATTTGGAAACTAATTTGCCTATTTATTTTATTCAGCAAGCGGAAATCCGAGGAAAGCATCACGCCATCGTCCCACAGAGGCAACAATTTTTCCTGCAGAACATCAGGAGGAGCTGGTGAGTTATCTCAGGCTCAATGCCATCTGGAAACTTGTGAACTCTGGCAAAAGTTCAATGAACTTGGCACAGAGATGATCATCACAAAATCAGGAAGGCGTATGTTTCCAGTGATGAGGGTCTCCTTCACCGGCCTTAAACAGAACCAGAAGTACACCGTCCTGATGGATATCGTTCCAGTTGACAACAAGCGCTATCGTTATGCATATCATCGCTCAAGTTGGCTTGTTGCTGGTAAAGCTGATCCTGAAACTGCCGATCAACATCGAAGACGCCGTGGATGCTATATGCATCCAGATGCTCCTTTCACTGGTGAACAACTCACCCGACAAACCGTCTCATTCGAAAAGCTCAAACTGACCAATAACCTTCTTGACAAACACGGTTATGTAAATCGCATATTTTGCCCTCTTAATTCAATAAGAGGAGACTTATTCCACTTCCCATTTTCTTTTATTGGTGTAGATTATACTTAACTCAATGCACAAATATCAACCACGAATCCATCTGGTACGCCGTCCAAGATGTGGATTTTCACTTGATGCTCTCCATGCTCTACCCCCCGATGAAATCAAAACTTTTGAGTTCCCTGAAACTGTATTTATTGCTGTTACGGCCTACCAAAACCAACTGGTAATTCTTTAAGTATACATCAATGGGAATTGGATAAGAACGACAAACAAAATGGCGTTCTGTACAAGTTGCTCACTTAAGTATCTGTTAGGTAAATAACAAATAACTAATGAAGTCCCCAGTAGTCCCATTATATGTGAACACTCAGAATTAAATGAGCTTGGGCAATGGCAACAGGATATATCCCAATCTCTTTTCATCACATTGTCGCTGAAATATGCTACATCTACTGTAATTACCAGACCACCACCTCTGTTGCACAAATTCATCATAAAAAGATAGTAGTCGCATCTGGAGATAAGGCAATGTAATGGACGGCTTAGGTTCGAGATCGAAAAACTAGAAGTTGGCGAATATTGCCTTCCACCCCATACCTCGTGTGTCCCCATATTCACCACACTGGAGAGTGAACCATATGTTTGTGCTAGGCACTGCGTAACAACTTTCTAGAACTCTTTCCTGACCTAGAAATACGTCTCGCACATGTGAAGGTGCTGATTTATGACCAGTAGCTGCGCCTGCCCGCGTACACATGGCCAAGCCCAAATGTCACCTATTTGTTGTAGCATATATGCGGTCTTGTAGTGTTGCATAACTTCTGCCTTCATACCCTTATAGATAACGAAATTGAAAATTGACTGCAACCCTTTCGCCAAGGGCTTTCGAGACTCCTCGCGTCTTTCTGATTTCGAACGGTAAGTCACACCTTCAACTTTATCACATTTGAGTTCAAATTTTGCGTAAATTGATAAAAACTCAGCCTTATGACATAATACTTGCCTACGCATTTGCTCAATTAGGCCAAGCAGGAAAAACACAAGAAGGTATCATTTTACGCAAATTTTATCCAGAGTTTGCACAAAGAGGGCTGTTGACAGCGTTTTAGTGGCCTAAAAGCCAATATTTAGTGAACTTTGAATTAGTTAAACCTCAATAATTTTCCCAAGAAATTCATTTGGCTCCTCATGTTTACGAACTGGACTGGCCATAACGGAATTATTGCCATGGTGATGTTAGATCGGCCTTAAAAGTTTTGAGCATAAAGAGGAGAAAAGCAAACAACACCAAAGTAGTTCCAATCGGGTGGGGATGTCAATAATCAGTTGGCGATTCCAGATCGTCAAGAATATTATTTTGCTTGAATTTATCGTTTTCGTGGACTCATGGGACACTTCATGCTTTTAACAGCTATGTTCCATTTCTACGCTCTTATGGTCATAAGTGAGGTAATAAGTCATTAAATACAACAGAACTCAATAAAAATCATTCCAGTAATTTAATGCTTTTGTTTAAAAATCTCCTACATCCAATCTGTAATGACAACTTTTTTCTTGCCAGTTTATAAATAATGAAATGAAGAGGTTGGCTATTCCATTCAGTGAAAGCATATTCATTTGTACTCAAGCTCATTTCACCACTCATTCTACACGCAATTACAGTCACTGCATCATTTGTTGACAACTGATAATAAGGAAACTAAGTATGCTCTCCCATTTATTGAAACCTAAATCCTCAAGAGTGTGAAATGATGAACTGCAGGATAAATAAGGATGAGGAGGAAGAAGAGGAGACGTCAAACTTACCCCCTGGAGCATTTGTTTACTATAGAGGCCTGGCAGTCTTGCTAGAGGCCAGGCAAGCGTGAACAGAATCCCGTTGTATGTTTATACTAATCCCCGTGTCGCTCGGGAAGGGGATGAGTGGCGTGAAAATTACGGGATGACGCCAAGGTGCCTGATTTATTTGTCCCCTCTGTGTCTCTCCCAATAGGAAGTTTGAGATTTAAGAGAGAAGAAGAAATCCGGAAAAGGGGAGGAGGAGGGAGGGAGGGAGGGAGGGAAGAGGGAGGGGGGGGGGAGGGAACAGGTGATGATGATGTTGATGGCGAAAGCGCACAAGTGGCAAAGACGACATTTCTAGGCGCTAAGGAGAAAGGCGGTGTATGTCTGTTTACATTAGGGGAAATTGCTGTAGCGGTGAAAACATCACGATGGCTCGAGGTTGTTTCGCCATCGAATTCAGGTGCGAAGCAAAATTTCGCCCGTACCTCCTTCACCTCTCTTAGGTGACATTCTTTCTTTTACGACTTAGGACATTTTCAATAAACAATAGACGGAAATATTCTTTTTACACCTCATTGTTGCCTTTAGCTGCAAAATCATTTGCATAATGTAAAATTACTTGGACTTACCCTTTCTCAAAATTGAAGTCAAACGAATTTGTATTCATTTAAAACTTTTTCATACAGATCTTAATGGAAGTTATATTCCACGCCACACTTATTGACAAACATCCAATAGTATGGAGTAGGAGTTGTACACACGTAACGATGTGATCGGTAACTTAGGGGCTTCTGTTTTACCTGAGAAGTTAGTTGTCACTTGTTTGAAACCCACCAGTTTTCAACCCATAAACGGAATGGTCATTCCCGGCAAATATAGGAGTGCCATATATCGATTTTCTATCGGAAGAGTTTAATGATGAAAATTTTCTACCCAAAATTGTTCGCGTACCTGCATTTTTAGATCCTAATAAATTAAAACAACACAAAAAATTTTGCCTACAAATTCAACTTACAATTTTTTCAACCATTTGTTAGAACATGAATTCAATGTCATCGTTTGAATAGATTTTGATCTTAATGAGAGAGAGGGTTTACATTCATTCGATTTTCATCATCCTGGATTCAAATAACAACAAAATTAGTCCTCCACAGGTGAAAGTTACGACCTAACTCACAGAGTTTAGAAGGTTTTGCGGTAGTATTACATCCTCATTTAGAATTCGAATTCATATACTTTGAGGTGGCTTTCTCCATTTGGCTAGGAAGTTTTTTAGCTAACTTTCATTGATTCCAAATTTCTATCAATTTGAAAAATGTCGGGCGATTCATTATAGATACCCCAAAAGCGCTTGATAAAGACGTTCTTATGATTATACGTTTTCCAATGCGGAGTTATTAAGCAAACGAAATGTTAGTTATCACATTATTGTTCACTTAGGATTTTCTCAAATCCTCTTTAATTATGTCAATGAAGTTATAAGAGTATAAAGGTATGGGAGCTAATGTAAAAACTTTAAAGATCGTGAACAAAGATATCAAAATCTGTGTTAGCAACTTGACACTTAGGTGTTACTATGTTCATGTAGTTTCAGGTTAAATAGAACTTCCTTCAATTTTTAGTGAATCAGTGGAGAATCTGCTGGCTTCACAACACACGGGAGGAATGTTTTCAGCGTTGGCCTCAGGACACTACCGATCACCTCCAAACCTCAACGCAAATCATTCCAACACCCTCCCACCCTCCATCAATTCAGCATTTGCTCCAATTACCGGCAATCACACTAACCATTCAAGCTCTATATCGAGTCTGATGCAGCATATGCTGGGTTCGGCTTTAACCAATCGAGATATTTTGCAAAATCACATCCTCCCCCCTAATTCTCATCCCAATTCTCATTCTCATCCACTCCCAATGACTCCCAATTCTGCCATGGCTATGCTTGCCTATCTCCAATTGGTTCATTCACTGGGCGGCCAGGAAAATAACCAATCAGAGTGGCCAGAAAGAGATTCTGTTTCGTAATGTTACTAATTCTTGTTCAGTGCGTTTGTATATATTGAATCTAGTTCAAAATGATATGACTTGCATGATAGACATAGTTGTGGTTCGCCGATGAAATATGACATTGAATGCCATTTAGGCGTTGAATATATATATTGAATTATCATTTTTATTAAAAATGGACTGGCGCTTCTATATTTATGTAATTGAATAACAAAAAACTTTATATGTATTATTTAGGCCTGTTATAGAATAAGGTAACTAATGTATAATTTAAATATTTTATATAGATGTTAAAAATTGCACAGATTTCAAACGATTAGGCCCCTAATTTTCATGATTTCATATTATCTTACAACACTTATTAAGAACAAAAATTGTCGAATAAATAAATTGGGAAATCGATAGTTCAAAATCCTGAATAGCAAAATACGTACACTTTATATCGTCAATATTTCCACTTTTGAGCTGAAGTATTAAACTATCCTTTATTCTTATATCTTTCTTTATACAGCCATATAAATAAAAATAAATAAATATGTTAAATCAAAATGAAAGTAAGTAAACTTGATTAGGAGTGAATAAGACTCGAGAACAAATAGAGAATAAACATGGAACATTGAAAATTCGAAATTCATATAAATATTTAATTTATCAAAATTTCCACTTTCAACCTAAGTTTTCGCGGAGACAGAGTGAGCTCGTATTTAGAGTTCACTCGTCAGTTGATCATATTAAGCAGTTGGTCATACCATTTCAAAGTAAAGTGAAAATGTACTTGACTAAGTGCTGACCATGAAGTCGGTAACACTGATTTGATGCCAATGGGTGCACACCTCATGAGAAAATGGTCCATCAATAGACGCTATTGAATTACGAGCTTCTTACCAGAATTTCGGTGATACTACCCTACTCCCAAAAAGAAGAGCGAGAAAACGAATTCCTGAATGCCTTTAAAATTTAGTGAGCGAAATAAGGTGCGTCAGTAGTAGAGATCGACGAATATGTCTTCAAAATCAGGGATTCGATCTACTCTTGTCACAGACACACATCATGTGCCGATTTAAGTATCGTACCAATTAATATCGATCAAAGCAGAGGCGACAATATGAGGTTTCCACATCGAGACTCCATGGTATTCACCTTTTATACATCTGAAATTATTTTTCTTCATGGAGATAAGGACTCAATTACAGTAATTATTAACTTCGAGGATAAAAGGAAAGCATATTACCACTCATTCTAAGGAATTCTAGATGCACACTGTTGCAAGTAATCAAATTGAATATTAACGAGATAGACATATTAGAAATAGTTTTTTTTAAAACAAAATGCCACGTTCACTTAGCAAAACCTGAATCACCTCCAAATTTCAATTACTAATCTGTGATATGAAGTCATAGATCAATATACCTTGCTTAATCTTGAAACACTGTTTTAGATTCATATTCTGACCTTATTTATGATTCAAATTTTGTTTGTTTTAGTTAATTATCCAAATGGGACTAATGAATCGTGTGTTGTGCTTACATTTTTTTAAAAAAACTCACTTATTAAAACACATGGCTAGTTAAGTGTTATTTTGAGTGATGTTTTGTTTAACTTCACTGCCAGAAAAGGTACCACTTAATGTCGATTTGGTGATACCTTTCACTGCTGTCTCTTAGAATGAGGACATTCCCAGGTATGAAGAAAGCAGTAGCAGAAGCAGTGGTGCTGCCTGTGGGGAAGGTGCGATTTCGAAATAAACATAATGCCAATGGGTGATTCCTTGTCTCTCTCCCTCTATATCGCCCTTAAATGTGACAAATTATAAAGGGCGTCTCACACTGATGCATTTTTTAATGGCCTGATCACTTCTGATAGGCACTAAAGTGGCGTCTTTGTATCAGTGCAACTAGATTCACCCTTACTAAATTTTTCGGAACAGCAGAAAATGTCGCCTTAAAAGGTCTAACATTATCGGGAATTCTAAAAATATTGAGAGATATCAAGATCTGCATTTGAATTCGTTCGGATTAAGAGAATGGTGTTTGCAATAATGAGCAAGAGATATCGAAAATTAGAAATACGAAAGACGAAAAATATCTAAACACTTCAATTGTCACACAGCCCAATAGGGAGGGGGGGGGGGTTACGAAAAGGAGGAATTAGTAGAAAAAGTGGATAAAGTCATGCCATTAAATGCTTCACTTTCTTTGATTTTTGAATTCACTAGTTTCTTACCTTTTGTTTAGTTTGCATAGTTCACAATTTCTCAATTTCCGATATTATAAGGTTCAGATTTCAAGTCATTAAAGTCATTATTGGTTTTCATCACCCTAAGTCGCTCTCTTAATACACCAGGCACGAGGATTGACCTTTCAGGCAAACAACCGTTTTTGACGCAAAAATGCTCAAGTGCTTTGATATGTTGGCTGCATGCTATAGGTATGAACTCTTGTAATTTATTAAATGCATGCGTCTTCCTAAATTTCCTTTTAGAAGAAAATCTTAATATAAGTGATCGTTTATTTTTAGTAATTTGCTAAATTCTGAATCTAAATTCTAGTATGTTCACTGAGTGTTTAAAAGCAGTTTTGAAAAAGATAGCATATCATTGCGCTTGACCGCATAATCTAAAACACCGAAATCCTTCTCTGCTAACAAAGTGTGCAAATTTTCACTTAGTGAAAAACGAGGATGTGCTGAGGAAATATGAGAAATCTTTGCTTGCAGAAGATTTTGCTCGAGCCTTCGATTCGTGAATTAACAGGACACAACTTCGTAGAGAGAATCACAGAGTTCTTTTTATTCTCCCTCGCATTCCGAAATATTCCCCCCGGTGAGAGGGGCATCATTTAATGCCATAAGCTAGTGTTTTTTTTTCTTGAGAAAGAGCATATCTAAAATGGAAATTAAAATGCAAAAAATCGAAATCAACTAAAATTATTGAGCATAGTTTATACATTTCTGTGTTTATTTCTTTCAGTACTCTTGGAATTGTATATTTCATGTGGTAGGCAGACATGCGGTTAGGGTAGTTTTTGAAACATTATACTTTGGAGCCCACAACATTGCCAAGGCCAACCAAAGTAACTTTGCGCACGCTAGAATACTCTCAGTCAATCGAGAGCTATTAGCCATTCAAAGTTATGTTAAATATACTCATTAGATGATCACGTTTTTTGGTAGCCTAAACTTGTAATAAGCACTATTCACTCTACAAGTTCTATCTTCTCCACACGTTTGGCATACCTTAGCTAATTTCTAGATACATATTTTTTTCTACTAGATTTTTGTAAAAAGGAATTGTTAAGGTTTAGTCATACCTTATTTGTATATTATTAACTTAAATATTTTAATTAATTTCAAAATAGCAAATCATTAGTGTATTTTAATTTTGCTAGGGCCTTCTTACCTTGGGCTTTTGATAAGTGGCTGGCAATGAGGATCAAAGTAGACGATTTCTCATTTTCCCGGAACTTTAAAATAAGGTCACTTTTCTAGTACGCTGGAAACAGAGTTTAGTTAGAAATAAGTAACAAAGAGCATATCCCCTTTCTCGCAAACAACTGGGTCACATCAGCTTTGAATAGTTAATCGCACTATAATAGCTTTGATAAAATGTGGTGTTAGTATTGCGAATATAATTCTTCTCTAATTAGCCATAATTATATGGAAAAGATATTTCATTTTCGAAAAAATTCAATAAAAAAGTATTGCAGAAAACTTGCTACTCTTATCAGGCTATGAACTTAGCAGATATTTTTTGGGTTCAAGGGAAAGTAATTTTACTAGAACTGAGGAGAGCAGATGAAATTGGATGATTGAGAGGAACTCTTTGATCTCAGAATATTAAGTTTCTCTTCTACTTTCGAGTCAACTCACCAAAGTTATGGGTGAGAAAATTCGCATGTAAGTAAACCATGCCGAGATGTAAAATCGCTTCTTTGGTGCCTGAAAATCAACGTAGGTGGCGGATCATATTTCCACATCAGCTCCACACTTAAACTTTTGATGCCAAATCCATATGTTACTTATTTATTAGTAGTAGAAATTATTACAAAAACAGCATATGGTAAAGAAACCTTTCGGGTAGGTTATTAATCCGAATTGCACTGCGTAGATTTACGAATACGTAACATAGTATATTTGTTAGTAATGCATTGGCGCTTGGGTTGTATTGATCTGTTCTACGTCGGTATATGGAAAAGATTTGTTTTACTACTTCAATACACAATTTTTTTATAACAATTTAGTAACTTGATGTACAATTTTACCTCACTTTCTTACTAAGTCAATGTTTTAAACGATGAACTAACCAAAATTACAAAATAGTGTCATGAATCTTAAACTTAGGAAGTATAGATGTTGTTTGAAAAAAATGAGCTAATTTAGTATTCTATTGTCTTAGCACCTGCTTCTTGGTTATTTGCGAGAAGTATCACTGTTGAAAGTTTAACCATTCTGCATTTTTTCATTACCATTTCAAGGTTTACTTTAAATTTGGCCAAATATTAGGTCGGAAGCAACATTGTGCTCGATAGATAAATTATTTTACCTTCATTTGGAAATGCATATTCCTATAACACTGGATAGTCTAATTTCTTCAGCTTTGATCGATGCATCCATCAGATATTTCTAGATTTCAATCGACACATTAAAAAACTACGTTCTAACTTACCCGGGGTACTTTAGTAACTCAATGAGTAGGCAGCAGCCTGCACTTTAACGAGTTTACTATTGACCTCACTTTCATCTGTAAGTAATAAATTTAGAATGAACATGTATTTAACCTAAAAGCATCATAATTGAAACAAAGTGGTGTAAAGTCCGGATTTTTTATGACGATATTTGTCAAGTTCACCACCAACACAAAAATACGAGGTCTGGTAAAATATTACTCAACTTTCAGTTTTTATTAATACCAGTCGTATTCCATTTGTTTAATATATTGCGACAGGAACTAAATAAGTCATATTCTAATTGCTATAGGACTTAAATCTATTTAAAATTTGACCAAATCTTGAAAATCGAGCATATATAATGAGATTTTTATGAAACAATATCAATTTACTATTTCATTTTCTGAGATTGTAATAAACAAGCAATATCAAAAATATGCCAATATCATAAGCCACAAAAATGATTCCGCCATCACCTCACCAATGTAAGCTTTGAGTAATCACCTTAGACATGTAATAAAAATAACGTAACATTCTGATTGATTATTTCTTGACAATATGGTATTTGAGTATTTGATGCCGTAGCAACTAAAATGACTTAAAACGAGCTCTGCAATATAGTTGTTATTAATATAATCGTACTCCAGATGTTTTAGTTATTATTCAGAGCTATGTTATGTAAACTTTTAAAAAATTTGAGGCTCAAGTTATGCAAGAGCATTTGCCCCAAACGACAAAACTAAACTTCAGCACTAAATTAATAATTTGGAAATTTTGTAAAAAAGACAATGCCGAATTTAAAATGAAATTTAGCAAATTAAACAGTAAAGAACCTTATTTTTGATGCAGACAATTTGCATTAATCTATATTCTTAAATAAATTAAATAACTTTTTTATTACGATGGAAGACGTTTAAAGGTATGCATTTTAATGTCAAACTATGGTTTGGATTAATTCACTCTGAAGGTCGATTACGTATCTTGTTTTAAACGTTTTGCTAACAAGCGCAGCATTCTAATAAGCTGAGATTGTTTAGATAGGTCTGGGATGTCTTACTGCGAGGCTATTGACTTTCGTGCTATCTTCATGCTAAGTGACACTTGTCGTTTCTATTAAAGGTTTTGCGACAGATGAGCTGCTACGACTTTCGCTATCGAGCTGCAGCCCAGTGGTTTCTATCCAACATATCCCTTGACGGAATCTCCTGTGATTTTTCGAAATCTAGCAAGTGCGGTCGAGGTATCCTATTCAAACTTAACATGCTGATTTGAGTGGTTTAGGTGTAGTAAGCCAAGGCTTTCTGGCAATTGCTGAGGATGATGAAAAAGATGGCTTGCAATTCGCTGATCATCCGTAATTTTCCATATTTTTTCGTAAATAGTGCAGATTATGAGATAATTTAGGCATAATTACCTGTTATTTTATTTTAGCAAAATATCTGCAGGTAGTCACAAGTCGGACCTTTGTAAGTTATGGTTCATTGAAACTTTTATATTGATAGATGCTTACATTTTCAAAATTGTAAATCTATATAATTTTTTTATATTTAGGTATTTTTGCAGATCTCTATTTTATCTAACATAATTTTAGCTATTTTAAGTTGATAGAGCTTATTTGCGCTGTCCATACCAATTATTTCTGATATTTCGTGTCGATGAAGTATCGAAGGGAGATTTGTAATTTGTAATAGAAAGAAGCACAACGTAACGAAAGACTAAGCATATAGAATCTAGTCTACTTAGAAGTATCATCGAACGATTAGTATCTGTGGAAGCTGAAACAGGACTTTAGCGTAAACCGATCGATTAGTTTCTTAAATTTTTGAAATATTTCATGCAGTCGATGCTAAGATGCAGTCTAAGATTTAGCCGGAGTAATTTGTTTGAAGCCTAAAGTCTTAGTAAATGGCAGCGCGTATATTTTCATTAGTCTGGCAAACTTACTAATCCATTCATTTCAAGTACAGCTCGGTCTCAGAAATCGCCAGATTTTGCAACGCGTAAAAATGTGTGCTTTGGTGAGGTATTCGAAGAAGGTACGATGAGTGGAAATGAGCCTCCGGCTTCTATTCGTCCAAATCCTGTTCGCTCGATATCGAGTATCTCAGGTCAAATGTATTTGAAACACGAGCTCTTAACCCACGCAGGCAATGAATCCTTCAGGTAAAATTGGAATTTTCTATTCTTAACGAATTAGTTTATGTGTTGGAATCCTTAAGTTGATACTTTCGAATTTTAAAAACACATAGGTTCTATGCTCCTTGTGGATATGGTCAAAGCTAGTGCATCTTAATTAAAATAGCATTTCAAAGTTTCCTGATTCTTATTTCATTAATTTTTTTACCGCATGCCATTCTTTTTGAAATGGGATCCATTTAATGCAGGAAATTTCAGTCCTATTTGTAAGTGCAGATGTAAGCTTACTATATTGGAAATAAGAAGTATCATATAATCTGCCATCCCATCATTTTGTCCGCCTTAGTTAGAAGGGCATTAAATAGCCACACATACACTCGAACTGGATGTCAAAGGATTCAGGACTATTTGTAGGCAGCTACTTTCGGCAGACAGAGTGTAAGCAAATATTGATAGTTTATGTGGCTACTAGAGAAACCGCTGATATGTCACGCTGATATAGCGCAAGAGACGTCGTGTTCCAACGAATGGCTGCTGATTCCTTATTAACACGCAAAGCAGTCATAGAACTTAGGACCCTATAGTTTACTACATTCTAGCAAATATATACTTAGTGGTAAATAATTTGACCCTTCCTATGTAAAGATCATTCATTTTCATGCAAAACCCTGTTTCGAGAGTCTTCTTTCTTTTAAAGTCTCAAACCTTTGTAGTGGCTTGTACACACAAGCCTTGACTAAACCTCAGCAATCTCTAGTATGAAACTGATCCCGAAATTAACTAAGCTATCTCAAAATGTGGAGGCAACAGGGCGCCTAGTGGGGTTAGCGTTTGTCGTAGTTGTATTGTTATAAAGCTTATTCAATAAAATTCAAATAACTGTGGCCAACCATGGAGAGACTGTAGATTGCTGGTTGTCTGCGAAGACTGCGCTCACCACTGCACTTTCTCCCTAAGGGACAAATAGCACGGCCCATCTTTGCATGACACTTCCTTGTTCACCCATAATAGCGTTGGGCACTCCACAGCTTAAAAATGTGCTTGTGAAACTTACCATGGTTAAACACGTCTAGGAAGTGCCGGATTCAAATTTTTCTTCTCTTTCATTTTATGATTTTGCATACTTCAAGTTTCATGTCTATACTGTAATGATATAATTGCGTTAAATTTTATTGAATTGAATTACTGTTAACTTGATTTTAAGAATAGAAGAATCGCTACATTAAGATTTTGGAATAAATCAAAGCAAGTATCTTATTCCTTTTCCCAATTGTATGATTTGTTCCTTTTCACCAAACGAAAGTTTAAATAAGCAATTTAAATGCTGGAATGCTATTATTTTACCATTGTATAAATATCGTTAATTGCACTATTCCATACTCACTATGTTTCCACTTGTTGATCGCAAAGTTATCCTATTTTCACCAATCTATTAAAGAATAGTTCATGCGCTTCTTTATTGCAGATCGAAAATTTTAAGATAGCAAATTAGGGCAATTGCATTAAGCTGATCTTTTCCTGCACTTTAAGCCTTTTGATTTATTTATTTATCAACCTATTCTTAGTCTTTTATTAACATTTATATGTTTCTGCGCATTTACATTTTTATCATGGATGGAGATTAGCATCTACTTTGTCAATTATTTTTGACACGTTTCGCATTTGGTATTTCACATGACGGCTTTGACTAAAAATGTTTTGTTTATCGAAAAATCTACCTGAACACCCGAATCTGTGATCTTCATTCATGAACATCCCCACTCGTCTTAGGCTATGTTTACCTCATGTAGTTTATTTACTTGATTAAATGGAATGATTTGCTGAATGCCTCCTCTTTTTGGTAGAATTTCATTTATTTAATACGAGTCCCTTAGCTATCTGCTTTCCAATCGTTAATGCTGATTTATAAGAATGTCCAGCTAAGTAAAAAAATATTTCAATGACGCAATCACTACTATAGGGACGAATGATATTTCTCTTCCACGATATAAAGTAAATCAGCTCTTTGAATGTTATCCATGATCATAGGAAACGTATTACCTGGAACAACAAAAATTCTGTATATGGTTTGATGGCCAATCGTAATCAATCGGATTTATCTAAAAGTGGCTATTGCACAGGGATTAAACAAAATGATTTTAATCCCTACAAAGATGCCATTTTTCCTCATCGTTAGCGGGATACAGGCGAGGAAAAAACATCTGCATCTTAATTTAAACTTAAGTCTTCAAAATTGCAGGTTCGCTATCTCAACAGTAGGTCAACGAAGACCTCCAATTATTGTGGCTTCTGTAATCCCCATCTCACGCGATCCTCTCATGCTGTCGGGCATTCCAAAAGTGTAAGCAAAACTCTTTAAATTTTTTTATACATGCCTCCTACTTCTTCAAGAAAGCTTTACTTGTTGTTCCATTAGACAAAATGGAACAGCTGGAACAATTTTGGGTGGAAGTGGTAGTAGTAGACAGCGCTCTGTTCCAGAGATGCCAACCGCATTGCTCAACACCCTATTCCGCCATAATACCAGCGGCAATGTCAACGCCAACTCTCCCATAAACAACTGTCCTCGATCTGGTTCTCTCGGTCAAGAGGAAAATCTAGCCGTTGCTAAACCTCTAAGCTATTCCAAGCCAGTTGACTCTATTGTGACTATCTTTAATAAATGCTATTCTGTCTGCGAAAGTAAAGTTTAGTTGACGGGGTTATTTACACTTTTTCCCCAGGAGCGCTCTTATGCGCATTTTCTGTTTCCTCGGAGATCTCTACAGCACTCCTTGAGTCTTGCTACTCCTTCAACAGCAAATCTTCGTCAGAGTGGTCGTAGAAGGAGGGCGGAGACGGTTGCTGGTGATGAGGTTCAAGATTCGGAAAAGATCCCCTCGAAGTCTCCCTCCACAACGACAGAAAGTAACAGCAGGCAGTGTCGCAGTCGCTCGCATACTCTCTCCTTCTCTAGCATGGCATCTGCAATTTCCAGACATGATGGGAGCTCGTCTCCTCTTCGTGATGTCGGTGGTTGGGGTCACCATTCCAGTATATATCTTACGAATAGAATTAATTTGTTACATTTGAAGACATTAGTCAGGGAAGTAGACCTTGGGCTCCTTTTGAGTGAACTTTGGTCAGCTCTACAACGTTAAAATCATTAGCTTGGAATTATCCTACTTCTTTGAAGGAAAAAAATGAATTTGAGCTCAACATAATTAAATAAATCTTACGATCTAAAATCCGATACCTCAGTCTTGTGGGTTTTAATGGTGTTCCAACTAGTCTCTCCTTTCTACGCACATTATATTATTAGAAGTCTTGTTGTTGCCCAGTAGATGATGTTTGGGTGCAGTCAACCCAGTCAAAAACTGGAAAGCAGCGTGGTAAATCCGAAACGCCGTATATTTTTTTCACGGCTGTTTTTAGTAATTAGTTTTATATGATCGATCTTTGAGATGGGGGGGGGGAGATTTTGTCAGGTCTTGAATTACTCATGTGGAGTCAAAGCGTACCACAGCCTCGATCACTATCGACTTACTTTAGCTTTCATTATTTATGTAGTCGTCTTTTTTTTTTACTGATGTAAACAATTTGCTCGCTGTGTTCCCATGGAAGGGTTTTAGAATTTCTTCATTTTTGTCATCACATCTCAGGTTGATCGAAAAAGTAATAATTTTTTGATATGTTCAAAATGTTGAGTACCGACAAAATAAACTGAACAAAGGTCAAAGTCCGGGATTTCCAAATTTGGCCTTTTCGGGTTGAATTTGGTCTATTTTACGTTTCATTTTTATTAGTAAAATAACCGTAGGTGTGGGGCACAAGTGGTGATTTCATCTAGCCAAATTTAGAGTTCATTTGTTTAGTTTTACTCGCGAAGGTGTGTTGGATGACAGTAATTAGATGCCAAGGCTATTTTTCTTAGGCACATTGCTCATAATTAGCTAGAAAAAAAGTTACTAATTCTAAAATGATTTTCTTTTCAACAGTCGATTCAACTGCATATCCATCGAGTTCGGAGAATATGCAGCCATCACATGCAGTTATTTATGAGGATCCACTTATCAAATATAATCCCCTACTATTAGATGATCCCATGGTACCTCGGGTAACCAATAGACGCGTGTTCCCATTTCAGGGCTACATGGTAAGCTTGGGTAGATCCAGTTTTTATTATGATACAATGGTTTCACGGTCAATGATTTCTCAATACGTGCTTTTAAATGGTAGACGAGTATTTTGGGCTACAGGCGGGCGGATGAGCACAAGAAGAGCATCAACCGGGAGTTTCACCAACGTTTTCCAAATGTCCAATTAACACTCACCAAAATGCGCAGTATTAAACTCAACATCCTCGCCATCGCCCTAAGGGTACTCCCTTTATTCGCAAATATTTAACTATTTTAACCTGCAAAGAAGGGAGTTAGTTACCAGATTGTCTTCCAACAGTCTTCTTTTCAACTATTTTCTGTCTTTTCCTTAACATCAGGTATCCAAATCGTGTTCTTAACTTCTTGTGTTGCTCTATGCCATGTTATCTATAAAATACATCGTATGGAAACCTCCCAAATGCCTATTGGAGTGATGGTTTTGCTACTCTTTAGAATATGCTGTGCGCGAATATATTTAATGTCAAAATGTGCTTTCTATATTCCCATTTAACTTCTAGGATATTTTGAATGATCCATACTTGTCGACCTTTCCACAATTTTACACATGTTCTATCAGTGGAAGTACTTTCTTCTTCCTTCTGGCCGAAAATTGCCATACATCTGCCTAAGGTTGCTTTAACCGCCTCTGCAGATTTAGAGGTGCCCACTAGTGTTTGATGAGGTTTCTCACTTTGGGCATTAATTATGAGATGGAGTGCGAATAGTCAGTTGCTTTTTGGACAGTCAAGGGCTATTACTTTGCCTGAATATTTTTACGAGTTGCTAACTCCCCTCCCCTCTTCTCTTCTATCGACTATTTACACTTTGTTTTCTTTTTACTAGTTCCACGGCAAAATTCGCCTCTCTTCTTATTCTAGTATTAATATTTCCCCCCATATTCCCTTATTCCTTCCTTTCTCGCTTGTAGCGAAGTTAGTAGGATTTCGTATTCTACTAAGTTTCTTCATTCTATCTTTGCTGGTTCAAGCTCTATTCTTCCTAAGAAGTCTTCCAATGGCCTGACGCTTTTAATATTGCTTTATTGTTTTGATAATATCGGAGCATATACGCGCCAGATTAAAGTTTAATTTTATAGACAGGAATCACTTTTAAGCTAAAATTATCTAGCTGATTAGAGAGCAAGTACTCAACTAAGGCCTTTATTTGACAAACATGGATTATTGAGTGTAGAAAAAATTCAATTATGCCCTTTTTTCTCTTCGAAATCTCCACAGATGAACTTGGATCTCTGGATCGTGGCCCACGCCTATGTCCTCTTTGAGAAAATGATCCTCAAGGTAAAGTGTAACCACTTTGCTTAACCTGAAAATGGCCAAGTGGTTCACACAATTAGTGTGTAAATAAAAATCACGAATTCTAATCACTCCGAGTATTTCTCCTGTGATGACTAAAAGTTAATCCTTGTTTGTTACCTCACTATTTGTGTAGCTGTTTGTTTGCAAGGCAAACAGGAAACTCTGCGCTGGGGCGGCCTTGCTTATCAGTGCCAAGTTAAACGATCTCAAGGGACCAGCTATGCCCGCTTTTATTCAGGTCAGTTTTTTTCTCCCATTAACAGGGAAAAAACGAATTTTTAACGTATGATCTAACTTATAAGAGATATAGAAATTAGTGACTGTATGAAGTAAATCTGGGAGTGAACTCTGCTTAATTCTGTTTTCCTAAAATTATGCCAGCTCATAAGCTTTCTGACAATTACTTCGTATTAAAAGACAAAGTGTATTTTAAATGGTATAAATGGTCATTTAATATAATTGAGTAGTGTGTAAACTTAATTGTATTAGCGAAAATCGTAGCTTTGTGATTCTCAAGATGTGACTTGTGACATCTCTCAGTTTCTTCTGGCATTTGATCAATTTTGAATGTGCGTCTTCTACTACCAGACGTTTGCAAACTTGCCAGACACAGGAGATTCATTTCAGTGCTTTAAAAAAGCTAGCCTTTACTTTGATTGCCGGGGAAAAGTATTCTTATCTACAAGGGTGTGCTTTGGACAAATTACAGAGATTAATTTTGCCGGGTAGTTGATGTTTTAATCTTCTCTGCTCGGCTCATGTGGATAAGTATCGCATCAGACCTCCACTTAATAGTCTTATATTCAATTAACTATCAATAATTCGAAGTGGTTTTCTAAGGCTCCCTCTTTTCTGGGATTTAAGATTTCCAGGAATTGAACACTTGAAATTCTTGTTTATTCATATGTCTGTGATCTCGTCGATCGTGCGAATGGAGATATTTATAGCAACAAAATCGGTGACCTTTTTTGCGAGGGCAGACTCGATTAACAAAAAGTTGCGTTTAACGGGAAAAATTTGACACTTTCCACTGTCAAATAAATACGAGTACTTTTATTAAGCAGCAGTTCAGTGGTGTTGCGCATTCTTTTTAAGAATTGTGCATTTAGACTCGAGACATTACAAAAGATATCACTACTAACTATAATAAGTAGCGAATCTAAGTTTGCATTTATTTTACTATGATTGCAGGGTTCAGCTCATTTTTGCTCCAAATTTATTTAGGAGATTGAGAATGAGTTTCGAATATCTCATCGGGATCTAATTCACATGGAAATGGCAGCATTCATTGGATTGGAGTTTTGTGTGCTTCCAAATCCAACGGAGGCGTTTCCACACTTCACACAGATCCAGAAATCCCTCGGAGTTGTGGTCACGACGCCATGTTGTCTCTCCGTTCCCACTCGCACACATTCTCTTGAAGGCGAAAACCTTCAGTCACACCTTTCTTCTCCTTCCGTTGTGGAGTAACGAGTCTCTTTATTCGCTCTCCATTCCTGTGAAATAATCTGGGACTAGTAACGCTTTTAAATTGACAATCATTGCAGTCATTCTCTGTTCGATAGATTTATTCGTTTATATATTCACTATTTATCCCATCCTATTTTTAAATATTACTGTAATAAATTGCGATTCCCTCACTGAAATAGACCTGGGTGAGTGTTTTTGGGAAAAGCTTGCGGCATATTGTGTATCTGGCTCTCATTTTCAAATCACATTGTGAACTCCCTTTGAGACACAACGATTTAAGTATGAATGACTTTCCCCAGTTCAGTTTGCCCATCTATGCAGTAGTAATTGACAACATATCAAGATTTGTTATCTCTTCTGCGCCTTTTTTGAGCAAGTCGCATTATATTGCAGATAGAAAGCAAGTTATGCTACTTATTTTGCTATTCGGTCTAACGACACGAGGATTAAAACAACATGAGGACTTCGTGTGCAGTTGAAAACTGGAGAGGTTTTGGGCTTCTCGAATTTACTTCAGAAAGATGGCTTCCAGAATCACAATTTATTGTAGTTAGGAGATGAATGTGAAGAATTATCCTTTAGGAAGAGTAACTTACCTATGGAAAGTTTTCAAAACGTGCTATACTTAATTTTGTATATCCAAGTCAATTTCAAATCGCTAATTTGTCTTTGATTTTGGTAGTCGCCTAAAGGCCATCAGCTTGTAGGAATTCGACTAAGTTAGGCTAAGGTGTACAACACGTATAAAATTGAGGAAAATGGGAGACAAGCTGAAAGATTTATTGACAACTATTATAATTATAACTGATAAGGAACTGCCGCCATAAATCAACCGAGTCACGAGTGGTCTCTGTCAAATTTATGTCCGGGTGCATTCTAGCTGGAGTACTTGGGCAGTTCGCCCAAATAAATATTCCTTTTCATCGAGAAAGTCATTAGTTTTATCTTCCAGCAGATTGTGTGGTTCAACGGTGACCAAATTGACTGGGTTTAATGCCGTATCCGTCTGGCCTTCTCACCCTGAGTCTGAGTGTCTGGTAGTGGGATAAATGATAGCAACAGGACAAGAGTTCCTCGGAAGTATCACAACATTCAAGAGTCATATTTAAATAAGGTGGCAATTTTTTGATAATGGAATTCCTCCGATAAGCACCTATGCATATCACTAACTCGCTTTCAGTTTAATTTTGTTTAACAAAGAGTTTAAAGATATAATACTCAAAATATTACTTGAAATCCACTTGCAATTTCATAGCTACTCACCTATTTTATATTTTGTGAGCAAATTCATTAATATTCTTAATTATTCGTATTAGATGGGTAGATTTTGCATCATTTTATTGCCGGGATGCAACTGGACTCGACTAACAGAGAATCCAATGAGTAATAAAGGAAAGGGGATCGAATATATTGTAAGAGTAAACCTTAAGGTGTTCGAAAAACCCCCGCTATTTTGCGTTTTGAAATCGGGTTATAAAATATCGAATGGATGCTCACGTCCCAAAATTCAAATCTCTTGATACGTCCTCTATATTTCGAAATGCTTTCTGCGTTGTTTGGTGCTTATTGACCAATATTGGCCACTCAAGATGCGTCTGTCTTGCCAATTCATCTCAACTCAACACAACTTAGCACAAATCATCTCATGTTTAGTTCAGGTTTAAATGGAAAACAAGGTCAATAAAGATGTCTCCCACACATTAATTTAATCTCATTTTTCTTGTGTAATTTCAAGGCCCCGGTTAAATAGTTTGATAAGTGAATTAGAATATACAAAGTAGCATGCAAATCGAGTCAGCATTGTCTATTGGCCAATCATATCCCCTTATTAGATTATCAAATAATTTGGTACTCTCTCAACTCACTAATTTCTCACGTAATCGAATGTCGAGAAACGTTGGAATGGTTAAGACAGGTGATCAAATGTCAGCCAAAATTTATTACTGATGAATAACTGGAAGGAATTTTATACCACCATATCAATGATTAGACCCTTCAATTCAAGCAATTTATCTCCCTTTCGTTGGCAATGTACTTGATTCAGGGATGAATACTGAGAAGGAAATACGCTTTCTTAATTTGAGCTTGGAGTTCTAATTAAAACAAATAAGCAGTAAACAAGCAAATAAGACATTGATAATCGAATAAAAGAATCGTGGTACCAAGTCTCCGAATAGCGCATATCTGATGTACCTAATTTTTCCACTGGTTTTGCTGTTAGTGACAGCAAATATTACAATATCATTCATTTCAGCATGAAGAAAATGTAGCCCCTCATATTTTCCGGTTTTTTTGAATGGAAAACTACCAGCGTTGAAGCCTACTTTGGAAAACTGAGAGAATACTTCTACGTAGGCAATCTACGCAGTTACTAATCTACTTCTAAGCCTAATTACCTTTAATTTCTGTCTAGGAATTTGGGATTACGAATGATTGCATGCGTCGAACTATTAAATTGAAGCACTAATTATACCCATTCGCTTAAGCACTTATGGTATTTCAGTGATTTAACTTTCCAGTTACTAATTAATTATCAGCTACAAAGCAAGACTTTATAAACGTTTGTCACGGAAAGGGATTCGAACGCGTGACTCGATAAAATGGTCCCATAATGGGATGAAAAATGAACAGAAGTTAGGCCTCAAAGGGAGCTTACTTCAATTGATTTATGACTCAATTCAGCTTTTATTGGAGATCTATCGCACCATCACAATTTAATGCTCAATATTTACCATTGATTTCTAAATTTGAATATAAGTTCACAGTCACGATTTTCAGTACTGAGTAAAGTGCTGATTTAAACGAGTCATTGTTTATACAGAATTTGCATGGTATATTTTCGAAACTAATTTATTCTTAGTATATATTAACGTCATTAACGCCTCTCTTTATTCTTTCATGATCATAACAGTTCTTGCGTGGTAAAGCAAATGATAAATCCTAAGATTTTTAGCTCGTTTATTGATCAAATTTTGTCTGACATTTTATCTCTCCCACCAAAAGACTTTTTTGAACATCTTGACTTCAAATAATGTGCATATTTTATGTCCCAGGTAGAATTTACTACAATATTATTATTAGGCCTTCCGTCATTCCGAGATGAGTACAGCTATTGAACTTGACTTAGCCCAGTGAATTTTATTGGTCACCATTTTTTAAAGTTCGGTAGTATTTTTTTTGAAATCGCATGACTATTTTTAATAAATTTTGACTTGGAATAATTGTTTAACATAATGGATTATGGGTTGCACTGTCGTAGTGCCCAATTGGATAATATTCGAACATGAATAACTTTTTCTCAGAAAACCTCTTACAAAACTATATAGGTGAGAAAGTGTTAAGTCTCTAAGTGGGTAATTGTGAAGAGAATGGGAGTGGACAGGAGAATGGCAGTAACGTTGCTCAAAAAGGTGAAAAAGATGCACATAGAGATGATGTCTTTCTATTTATGGGTTATGCATAATTGTTAGAATGAACGGGATTATGAATTGATGTGTATATAGTAGAATACCTAAGAGCATAAAACATGATAGCCAGTCAGTTTATGGAGTGAGAAAGGTGAAGGTCTACTAAACCAGTGGACAAGTGATTGTTTCCCATTAGATGTGCGAATCTGCGGGCACTTTAATTTACTCTAATTAACAAGGAAAGGATGTTTAAATTAATTTCTCATAAGCTTAACTCTGGGATGCCTCCCTTCAATCCGACTTAAATGTTGTAACAATCACAATATTGTGCTTGGGAGTATTGTTTTTAGTGTAACTAAACGGAGGTGATTTAGCAAACAATTTGAGTAAACGGAGTGTTTAAAATATAATCTATATGAAGAGGTCCTTGTTCCATTCCCCCTGGCATTTGGTTTTATCAGATTTTGTTACGTATCTATTCAACTATAAGTAGGGCACTAAAACAAACAACAGCATCTTTCACAGGATTAAAGATTTCCCATATGGAAGATGCATAACGACTTGAAGCTACGAATAATTTTCACTCTTCCATTGGTAAAATTCACGTATTCAAAATTGGATTTAAAAGTTAAAGAAGCATAAAGGATACCCCAAAATTCATATTTGCATTTAATGTCCAATATGAGATTTTGAGCAGTTTTCTTCCAAGTATATCATAGGTAGTTAGTTATTGATATAAGGTTATTAATTATTCCTAGTAAAATAATGAATTAAATGACGCACTAATTGAAAAAGTACGATATTTCTGGGAATCGTTCGAAGAAAAATGTCCAACTATTGACAATATTTTATTTTTGGGTAAAATACCCATAATTTAGAAACTTCAAGAGAGAAAGTTACGAATGAGTTAATCCGAAAATAGTTACAATGACCTTTAAATAATAGGAACGTTTTCAGACCTATTTTTGATTCACACGGCCAGTTAAAAGCTAGGCAAACTTGCGATCAAATAGAGAAGATAATGCTTTACAAACGTACCAGCTGCCAATAAATAGAGGTTTCGAATATATCCCACCAATACTTACTGCTTGTGAACCGAGTGCTCGGGTTCGAGCAAATATAGAAGAACACTCTCTCTTCTGAAATTTTTTCACCCATGAATTATAGTATCTTTTGACCAATCTGAGGTAATCAATCCGCATGTGGCATAGCAATTAGTTTTATGTGCACATTGGTCTAGGTTCTATATTTAAGATGCACTGTAAAGGCAAACAGTAAGCAGAACTTTGCCTATACAGGTTGTTGAATTTAACTATCTGGTCCCAATGTTTTTATTAGCTGAGCATATCAAAAAGGAAGACCCCAAAATCTATTTGAATAGTTTCTGGACGTTAATTGTCTGCGATAAACAACTTTCAAGGAATTCAAAATCAAGCACATGATCTAAGTGAGAGTTGAATTGCATTATGCTGATTTACTTCCAATACAGTAATTCAACTAAATCCGATGAAAGGAAAAAAATTGAGTATTTGATTGACATTGGCATTAATATTTCATAAAAATAAGCGGTGATCTAAATGAATAGGTCACAGA